AATAGATAATTAAAAGGAAAGAAAAATGATTGTTAATATTTATTCCACTGCAGCATGCATGTTTACAATCATACATATTGCTAGGAGTATTTATTTGAATTTTACTCTCCCGTACACAACTATTATGTATCATCTTTTGCTCTTATATTGTTCACATTTAATTGATTAGGGCAATTGCAAATGCAAACCAGTGCAGCATCTCTTCTTCAAATAAACAAGGCGTGTGAGGAAAACAACCATATGCGTATATGGTATACTCTAAATTCTTGATACGATATAAAAAAAATATCACACTTTACTTTAAAAAAAAAATTACTTCCTACTTTTTGTATTGTTTTAGGTTACAGACACATGGCAGGCCTGTGAATATAATTGAAATGTGAATGGCACGAAAAATGAAGGATTTGGATAGGATCACCTTGCAACAAATTTACTACAATCGTGCAGACATAATTGAGGTAAAATTAACAAATATCATAAATAATCAACATATTCTTTGGTTGAGATATCTATATCCATAAAAATGGTTTGCAATTACAGGGAAAGAACTATTGTTTAAGAGGATTTGTCGACAAGGTAATGAACAAAACATCTATATGGTATGAATCATGCACAAAATGCACCTCCTCTGTTGACAAGAATGACGGCAACAAGATATGTAAAAAGTGCAACGATGTCGTGGAAACAACTCCAAGGTAATAAGAAAAAAAACAATAAAAGTTTACACCTTATATTTTATATACAAAATACAATTAAAACAATTGTACTATTTGCAGATATAGGTTGGTACTAAATGTCGTAGAAGGGAACCTCAGTGGAACTATCACACTTTTCGAAGATGTCGGAATGATTTACGTGGGGTGTTCTGTTGCAGACTATATTAAATCTATTGAGCAGGTAAATAAATTTTTCAATTAATACCTCAAAACCATCTTCAAATACACAAATTTATAACTCCAATCCATCTTCAAATAATCCATTATAACTCAAATTCCGTTCCATATTCATTAGGGAGAAGAATCATCCGGTTACTATCAAGGCTTGAGCTTGCAATCAACCACCGAATTTCAATTTCTCATCAAAATAAATCATAAGTCCTACAACTCAAGAGGAGAAATGAACGTGGTTGTAGAAGCAATAGCAAGATTAAAACCTACCAATGATGATAACATGAACGAAAGGTCATCAGAATCTCCCAAAATCTCTAAGTGATCTGCAAAAGAATCAAGGGGCGCCACAAAAAAAGCAAGTTCTAAGAAAAAAACGCGTCGCTGACAAGATAAAGGAAGACGACAATGATAGTGTAATTGAAATCGAGGATAATGAAACAATCAGCAGTCTTAAAAATAAGTGTGTGCGGAAAAATTCAAAAGGAAAGGGAAAGAAGTCATCCTCTCCGACCATCAACATAAAGAAAGAGAAGAGTTGAAGACCATAGTTACTTCTTTAGATCATTTAAATTTAAGAACATTCTTTAGTTACTGTTTAAATTTAAGAACAATCTTTTGTTACTTAATTTCTTGCTATAATTCATTTACTTTACATTTTTAAAAAATTTCATCTACTATATATTTTACCTTAGAAAATTGATAATTTATCCCGACCACTATATACTTTCTATTAAGAGAGAGTTTACTAAAAAATAGTACCATAAAACACACATCTCCTCGTAAACTAAATTAGAAAAATTAATTTTCCCTACGTGCATCGCACGTGTCCCTTACTAGTTCTTTAAAATGGGAATTAGGAAACTGCAAGTACGTGATGTACAATTTAAATATCTTTATATTGTTTTCAATTATATTTTATCTTTATTCTTATATGGTATATTATTATATGGATTATTATTTTTAAATTATCAAACAAAAAAAGTACATTGTATAATGAATTGTGTCAAATGTATTACAAATTTAAATATGATTTTTAGATAATGATACTATTTGAAAGTCATAATAAAAATGAGTACATAAAAAATCAGATGTACGAATAATCATTCTTTAAGTTAATCATGTTTGTTCAAAATCTCTTTAATGTAGTTAAAATTGCAAAAAATATACATAGTAAGTGATAATTTTGTCCAATAATTTTTAAGATTTTATTGTCCACTAACTAAGAAAAATTAAACACGATGTGATTGTAAAAGCAAAAATTAAGCAAAAACTACCCAACAACTAATTCCACTCACTCACGTGTTTGGATAGAATATTTTTATTTAATTATTCGTGATTTTTTGTAGAATTGTAGAATTTACTTGACAAAATTATCATTTATTCTAATTTTGTTAATTTAACATGTCATTCGTAAGGAGGAAATATCGAGAGCTTAATTCCGCTGACTCCTCCACAGTCCCCTCTGTTTTGCAATATTTGCTGCTGGATTTTTCTAGCTGAAGCCACAGCCGTTCTACTGAGCCGGTACAAGACCATTGTCTCAAGGCACGGTACATCTGCAAGCACTTGGGGCAGCGATTCAAGTTCCTCACAGTTTCTAACCATTAGGCATTTAAGCTTAGGAAAGTCGTGATCCGAAGCTTCCCAAGACACTATGTTCGTGTACCCAATGTGCAATACTTCAAGGCTACGAAAACCACCTGTGCCCACCTCCCAGCGCCGACCCACAAACGCGTTGTCTTTCAGCTTGAGCACCTCGAGATTCTCCAGCATTCCTAGGACTGACATCTGCTCCCAACCAAGAAAAGTGGCAGATAGCGTCAAGCTCCTAAGTTTCGGGGGGAACTTATCTGGAGAAGGAAGGCTGAGTGGGCTCATGATATCATGGATGTCATCATTCAGCATCTTCAAATTCTCAAGCTCATTTAGTACTCTTAAGTTGCCGAAATTCATCGTGGCAAGTATCCCCCGAATGCCTAATTTCTTGAGGTGATGTGCCCGCTCGAACAAATCAAGAGCGCAATCACCCGGTGATATGTTGGCCAGCGTCTGAAGATGCTGGCCACCTTGGTTTTCGTCAGCTGCTGGTTTTTTGTGCAGAGTAATTGACGCGTTTGTCCTCAAGTCTCTCAGCTGAGCCATCGAGCTCCAAATATCGGCTTTGATTGCCAAAGTACGAGACGATGTATGGATTACGAGAGTCATCATGTTGCTTAGCCTGGAAATGGCTTCCGGAAGGACTTTGAAGTCACTAGAGAGGACCACGTACTTGAGAAGCACGAGTTGAGTCAGCCCGAGTGGAAATATTCTGAACACGAGGGGCTTCACATGTAAAACCCTCACCAACTCAAAGGCCCCCGGGATTTTCGGAATGTCCTCTGTCGGCAAGGCGATTTCTTCTCCGGAGAAAGAAAGGAAAGAACGAGTGGCTGGGGCGTACGGCTCTGTGGAGAAGAATTCCAGGACATTGGAATGAATGCAAATGCGGCGGTGCTGATCGTTTTGAGAAGGTTTGATGAAAGTTCCATCGCCATTTTTTGTCAACACTTGGAAGAGATGCTCTTTCCCCTCGGACTCCGCTTTACAGAAGTCGTGCACTGTGTCATGAATTCGGCACGTCTTGACCTCACCGTTGCTTTTAAGTTTATCAACGATGACCAAGTTGCGGTCGATGAGATCTATTAGATTCTCGTGTGCTCTCTCCTCCAAGCTCTGTCCCTGCCTTGGTTGAACGAACCCCTCGGAAATCCATAGCCGGGTCAATGTCCAAGCCGGGATCTCGTAATCCTCCGGGAACACCCCCAAATAAAGAAAGCAGTCCCTCAACTCGTCACACATCCTATCATAACTCAATTCCAAAACACTCCTGAAAACATCGGATCCACCACGAGTGTACATGTCCAGGCTTTGGGATAGCTCTATCCACGACTTCACGATGGCAACGCTTGTTTTTGCTTTCGAGACGTAGTCCATAAGAATCCCTGCAATCATCAACAGCAGCATCGGTATTCCTTGGCATCGTTCGCTTATATGTCTCCCGAGCCCTTGCAGCTGCGGAGGACACTGCCCGTCCTTCCCGAATACTTTGAACTGAATGAGTCGCCAACCTTCGTCATTAGTCAAGAAACGCAGCCTCAGGGGATCATCATAACGTTTGTAATGTTCGATCCGGTTGAAGATACTTTGATTACGGGTGGTGACTAGGACTCGACCCTTCTCGTTGTCCTCTGGTAAGGCAGATGTGATTGTAGAAAATGCCTCAGCAGTCCATACATCGTCCAGGACCAAAAGGAACTTCCTCTCAAGTAGAGAGGCATGAATAGCTTTGGCCAGGTCAGAGGTTGTCTCGGCTGACATGTCCTTGCTCGTGAATTGGTGGAGGATGACGAGAAAAATGGTTCTCGGGTTGAAATCTCGGGAGACGGAGGCCCATATTCGGGTGGGGAATTCCCGTTGGATTTCCTCATTGTTGTAAGCCTTCCAAGCAAGGGTCGTTTTCCCGAGGCCAGGCATTCCGATGAGGCTGCTGATGCGCATCTTATTATAATAATCTTTTTTTGTGGTCAGAGTTTTTATTAATTTTCTTTCCGCATCTTCCAAGCCTATCATGCTGTCTCCCATGATTGAGGCTGCCTGTGCACACAAGTTACAGTACATTCTCAAGTTGGGCCTATTTTACTACTCTTCATTCTGCTCATCATTTTCAAGCAGCATAATATTATTCATTTGGTAGCTACACATTATTTCTTGTATTGTATTTTCACTAATATCATAATGCACGTGATAAGTTGAGCCTAGTTTTTTTATGCTAAAAAACAGAATGAGCTATGTTGACAGAAATTCTCTTGATCTCCATCAAAAGAAATGTCAACTAGTTAATGAAAATGCTATGTCAACATACCAGCAACACGACCTTTGTAGCCAATTAAAGCATAAAAAATCTGTTTCTTTTTTTTTTTCTCCAAGAAACGGACCAAAACAATAAACGAGCAACTCATAGTACTAAAAAAACTACTTTTGCCTGATAGAAATTGTACCTTTTTCAGCCTTGGCTGCTGCTTTGCTTGTCTCGATCCATCAGATTTGTCGTGGCCAATTCGTACCTTAGCAATGTCAGTCCCAATGAGCCTGCCCATGGCAGGTTTCAACTCATCTTTCCTAAGCGACCTGACGAGCTGTGCCAGGTCAGCAGGCGCCAGATCGACGAGATCTCGTCTCCGACCGGATATATATTTCCAGTCTGCAGCTGCCTTGGCCAGAAGAGTCACACAAGCGTCGATTGTGTCCTCAATAGCATACACCACTTTCTTGATTTGCCTTTCAACTTCCCTGAGTTGTGTGGCTTTATTCAACCTTGTTGACTCGGGCTCCAGCAAAGTCTTGAAAGACATTAGATCGTTCGTCAGCAGCCGGAGCTCCTCTTCCGTGCCGACGCCTGAGAGAAGATCGGCATGTGACGTCAGCAGCCGCGACACGTTTTCCAGCAGGAAACTCACCGCGCCATACG